TCTGGCAATAAACGACTGCTCCGGACTCTATCTCTGTGGCAACTTTACTCACAATACTTGTTACGACATGTTTGGTGTCCCTCTTGGCACCACCAACATGCAGCGATCAATAACTGCGCATGGTCTGAACTTCGATCTTTGGTCTGGCTGAGGGGTATAAGTAGCCGGAGGGCTCCTCAGTCGGGTCATTCTTGGGCTTAGTGGTCCGCAATACAGCAATACCGTATCTGCAGTATCCAACCGACGGACTCAATATCCCACCACACAATATCCGACTGCTTAATACGCAGGAGAAGAAGAAGGAATAGCTGTCAGTGTTTTGTTGTACTGATAAAGTTTAAAACCAAGCCGTGCAATCCAGCAGTTCAGAGGGATCCGCGTGGCAAATCACATGGATTTTGGGCGAGCAATCTCACCATACTAGTGACCTCGTAGTTCACAGTGGTTTCTGAAATCCCCACCGCACATTTAATAAAGGCACAGTTTTCGATAGAAATGGTTTCCGAGATTTTTCTCTAGGCCGAACCTGGGCCTCTAAGGATAGCGCAAGGGACGCCGTAGAGCCGAAATTCGGCTTAGATAGGGCCCAAACCCTAAAATCCTCTTACAATTAGCCGACATACACACCCAATGCGGCGTTGAAGAAGCTGTGGAGGTTGAATTGAAGCTATAGTTGGTTCCTCTGAATAGCTTTTCAATTTGAATTGGTCGTGCTTGTTGCTTATAATGTTACCGCTTGATTTTTTCGACAACAAACAAACAAGTCCAACAAATACCCAAGAAGTAAACAGGTAAAAAACAGCTGAAGAGAACTTACTGTCAGGAATGAATGAGTACTTGCCACGGAAACCGAATTGATGATCGACTTCACGTGCACGGGAATGAAAGACGAGCACGAGAACACGATGAAGGCTGAAACATTAGCGATTCTAGGTGGGGTCAATGAGTAAAATAGCATACTTGTCACTAGTTACCTTATTCTAACATGAGGCGATACAGTACCACAATATCGACCGCCGAGTGACGCCGACAAGAGGTCAGATTCGACTCGTTCAAGTTCCGAATAAATATCTACATACTCGATTTCGCAGCTGAACAAGTACTATCTTATTGGAGTCAGTGATCCTGAATTGTGAAAACGTGGCATTTTTTCTCAGGATCACGCACGGCGATCCTGACTACGAGATGCACTTAGTAGTCCCGTATCACGGTCAGTTCATGGTAGGTGTAGGTAGTACCCACCGAGGGTGTCACGGATTTTTTGTTTTTCCGGGTTAGAATGCCCTTGATCTGAAACCTTGTGAACCTGTGTGTCAAAGGGATTAGCTTGTGCCCGATGTTTTTGATCCCACTTTTTTCATAGACAATATGTTACCTATTGTCCACGTAACTTAGCGGATGTAGAAATATTTTTGAGTCATCTTAATGGATTCTGGTAATTACTAACGAGTAGAAAGTGTTATGCAAACATTAACAAGGTTTTTTATAGGAAAGCCATGACATCTAACCTTTCAGAACTGCCAGCGAGATGAAAATGCTCGAATTCCAATTTCACGCGTTGCCTCGGTCCCGCGACAAACGTGTATACACACTAAAATCAAAGAATTTGAAGGATCGTAAAAAATCACAATTCACCAACCATCACAGAACAAAGCTACACCAACCTGCAGATTTCTAGGTAACGTTATATTCCGCTGTATGGAATTATCAGTGGGCTCCTTGGGTAAAAGCGGAAACCGAAATTCGCCTTTCGGATTTTTCTCATCAAAAACCCGATCACATTCTGAAGCGTTATTCTCGAGTCTCTATTTCGGGATGCTCACAACGAACAATAGTAAGATCAGTGGATGATGCTGCTGCTTTAAAGGACTTCCCATGCACAGTGTTCCTCNAGGGACTTTCTACTTGAACTCCTTACAAGAAAAGATCGTGAAGGACTTTTGATAGATTTTGGCACAGTAACTTGGTAAATAGTAATCTATAATAAAATTCAGCCATTGTAAAGAGGCTGATTGAAAGATTAGAGGGCCGAAATTTTCAACGTCTTTGAAAAATTTACGCACAAAATTTTATAAAAGCCCACCCTTACAGGAATGTTCTGAAAGTTGTTATGGCCTTACTATAGAAGGACACTCACTAGTACGAGCATAACAGAAGAGACCAATTAGAATATTATAGTCGATTGACCAAATCGAGGCTCTTCTTCGATCTTTTCAGTTTAGACTGTAATGTTGGTACGGGGTGTGCTCAGAATTGCATAGAAGAGCTTCAAGGCTTGATGCTTGACGCAAGTTTCGATGGGCTCCATCAGCGGATCAATTAGACACGAATTTCAAAGAAGTCCGTTTAAAAGAAGGGGGGAGAGGACAGTTCGGTCATTATGGAGCACGGAAGTGGGAGTCGGCTATGCTACGCGCATACAAGTGGGTGGTGTCCTCCTACAACTATTGCATGGAAACTTTCAGAACAATCCAGATGAAATCTTGAAAACTGCAAAGCTTTGGTCGATACTTTCTGAACCATAACATATTGCCTTTGAAGTGGCCAAAATTGACTCAAGTCCTATTTTCATGTGGTCTGCAACCCCTTGATTGAAGACGTCAGCGCTTTCCCAATCCTCTGGAGATAGTGAATGCAAAATGTTGCCGATTTTCTCAACCCATCCCTGCTGTTCGCGCATTACGAACGGCCCTGGTGCGTGGGACAACTGACGTGTAATTCGTCAACTCTCCCACGAGAAGATTGCGAGAATAAGAGAGTCACCGCTTAAAGGCCTCAAAAAACAAAAACCAAAAATAGAAAATGAATCGATTGTCTGGGACGGAGGTACACCATGTTGTCATCAATAGATCAAAAAATCCGTTTGGACCCAAAAGAAAGAAATCTGCGAGGTCACGCGAAAGCAGCAATGCGCTGTCGCAGCTTGCTGCAAAGCTTAGTATAAACGCTATCGCATAACCCTGCTGAACTTCTTTCCGATTGAATTCTTAATAAAAATGAAAGGTGTACGATGTAGAGAAAAGAAATCGAGGTGAGACTGAGCCACCTATAACTTTTTTCTAATCGAGAAAATTTTAGATGATAAAGAAAATGGTGAAAATCGGGTAGACCGTACTTACTCCTCGTACTGCAACACTCCCTTCAACCAGAATACCATAATCAGAACCAACAAACAGGCTATGACCATCGTGAATAAAAGTGCGAAAATGATGTCGCAGTCGAGTGCCCGACATGAGGCACAGTCCTCTTTTGGGGTTGGTGATTCCCATTCCAGGAGATCGATACGGGTCTCAACGACACGCTCCAACGTACGCATGCGTTCCATGCGCACCCAACACCTGGACAAGCTAGATTTGTAGCGATTCCGTGATCTTTTGCAGTAATCGATATTATGACCGACAAAAATCGATTGAGAGTAAGAGAAGAATCGCGAAAATGTTTCAATACAGCAGTAAGCAATATGGTGGCATTCTGGGTATGAGCTTGAAATGAGCTCCAAGAGCCCTAATGGATGGGGTTGTTCTAAAATTGCCAAGAAGGCGAGCGTGCGCACATGCGTTGATTGGTGCTGCCCGAGCAGTCTGGTCATGATGCGCCATCGGGTCATCGCGTCGCGCACCTATTTCACCGGGAGCGGCAACCTCAAGTGGCTGTATTCGAGCATTCCCTACTAACTCCGACAATTGATATGGCATGTTCATTATGTCCTCAGGTGACCTTCTTCTCTCTACCTTCCTATACACAAGCTGTCCTATCCATTGCTAAAGCTGAATGCCAGAGAAGCTCAGAGCAAGTAGGGTCCTGATACGATCGCCTCAGGACGATGCATGGCTTTAGCGTAGTAAGTAGACAAGTGCAATGAGTTGGACTTTTTAGGTCGCAGATATTTTCACCGTCCGGTGAAGTATCTGCGACCTAAAAAGTCTAACTCATTGCACATGTCAACACTCTTGGCCTCTCAAGATTGGAGCACAGACAACGTCAGAATACGATTGTTTGCCACTGATCAGGACAAGGTGTCCAGATATCAATGAATATTAAAGATTCCAAAGTACGATCTCAACAGAATGAGGGGCAATGTGAAAGATAGGTCATGATACTTTGCGGTAGAACACGATAATGCGCAGAAAGATGTCGAACAAATAAAGTAGAGAACGTTGCGATAGTCACAGGTAAATGTAAGCGAAGAGGGAATCCCTCACCAACTCTTCAAGTGAAAACATCGGCAATAGCTAAATTGAGCGGCTCTGCAGCCCTGTCTAATCTGTTGGTGACTACACAATAGGCTAGGCTCACATGTGAAGTGAGCTAAAGGAACACCTGGCAATGAAAAATGAAGGAAGCGATCGGAACCTTCTCAAGAGTAGTATAAACTGCAGTTCATACACGGATTCCAGCTATAAAATCAATGAAAAATGAAATTTTTTGTCTTATGCTATGGCGAAAATAAGCCTGGCCTATTTTTTATCTTGTTTAATTCGCATAGTCTCAGATTAAGCCTCAATGACCCCC